AGAGACATGTCCGTAGCAGGCAACATGTCAGTTCTCTCCTCTCCTCTCGGGTCTTCTTCTTCTCCCGACCCCCGTTTCCCCTGGCTGCCGCCAGGTATCGGAACACATATCGGGTCCTTCGGGGAAGACCCTAGTTTTGGAAGCCAAAATCGGAAATGGACTATCGAAAACTCTCCTACAAAAGCTGGCTCTCTTGGGCCCAAGGTTATCGGGGTCACTCGTCCCCTTCAATATCTTGACCGCCCCCTGGTCGATCGGGATATCCCAACTGGGCACCTCCCCATCTCTCGAGAGGGCTGGGGAGGTCTCGCCAGCAGAGTCTTCCCCTTCCCCGCCGTTCGGCCAACATAGACGGCAAACATGGGTGTACTCGGATTTATTGGGGAGGTCTGGAAATTCTTGACAATTCCGAAATTCCCGCCTCCTCCCCATCCAACACCCATTAGCCCCCGACCGTGCAGTCTAAATATCGCTCCGGGGAGCTCGACCACCACGTACTTAGACCTCCGGTCCTCCGCTCGTGGTATCTTAGCGGCACAGCCCCGACTCCTCACGACTATCACTGCTAGCCTCCTGCCCCTCGGCCTCCAACTCCGGGCTCCAGCACTATCGGCGGCCGCCTGTTCGCCAAGTCTCCGCAAGCTTATCGGCCACCTCTGTGTGTTCCGAGAGGGAATGGCGATCTTTTAGCCAATCCTGAAGGGAGCTAGCCACCTCGCGCTCGTCCAAGATTTTCCTCTCGGGCCGCCACCGCAAATTTAGCTGGAGCTTGGCCACCCTGCCCCCATAAGATCGGGCATAGGTATCGGACCCCTCTGGATTCCACCTTTCTTGGGCCCAGTGCACACTGAGCCTAGTGGGTAGCACTGATCTCTCAGAGTGCTCTGTCCAGAAGCCTTGGGCTATAGCGGGAGTGCCCGCTCTCTGCAGAATAGCGGCCGAGACTGCCACCACGTCCGCACACTCGGCCATCTTCTTCTCGAAGACCGCAAAGTTCGGCTTCAGCTTAGGTAGCAAGTAGTCTCGGCCAAAGGTCGCCAACCACTGTACAGCACTACTTGAGCCTTCAATGTTTGAGAAGCCCCAGCCCATCAACCTTATGACCTTATACCGTTCAGGCAGTTAAATTTTAACTGCTCGCAGGCAGTTAAATTTTAACTGCTCGGATGCTCTGCCCGCAAGCCACAGGTTAGATTCCTTCAAGTGCTTCGCTAGACTGTTCTAGCGGTGTCAATGTAGGTGTCCGGGGTTCGGGGTTCTCCCATTCCGTTGTGCTGTACAAGGTTTGCAAGGTCCGTCTGCCCAGGCAGGCCAATGTTGCATCCTGAGGTCATTCTTCGCCGACTTTTGAGGACTATGTTGGCCAGGCCTTGTTCTCAGAACTTCTTCGCAAGCGTGTCCTTCATAGACAGATAACAAACTCAGACAGCAGGAAGGGGTTTATGTGATAAGCTGACTTTCACATGCATAATCGTCTTGATAGATAAGGTGTGTAGTAACTATAGTAGTATTAGTATATGGGTATTCAATATTAATCTATACAGAGTTAGATATAATACATATTTTATATTGCACCCTATAGCCCGAATCCCTGCCATTACATTCGCAATGAGGTGGTGTTTATCTGCTGCTGCTTCGTGGAGCAGTGTGCTATGTGCTGAGGACCATGAGTGCCAACTTGGGTAGGTTTGAGTCTGAGTTAGGCTTGATGTTGAGAAGATTAATTGCTTGTGCAGGACTTGACTCATCGGCAATGAGCTTTGGCTGTCCAGGCTTGTGTCTCAGCTCACCTGCTTCAAAGCATCTTTTCGGGTTTCCTTCCGTCATCAGTGCCTTTGCTTGGGACCACAAGGGATGCCGGGCACTTTGCTGATTTCGCAGAACCTAGTCTTTCAGCTTTCGCGAGCAGGTGGCAGCGCGTCAGCAGATTTGGTTTCGCAGGCTTGGATCAGTCCGAATCTCAGAAAATTTCCGAAAATCATTACGGATCTGCTTGTGCGCTTCCTTTTCGCTCCTGTGCACTCTTGGGGGCCTCTCGGAGGCATTTGGGCTCTCTGGCTCTCTCGTTCCCGGCTCCCCCCGACTCTGCCCGACTCTGCTCGACTCTGCTCGGCTCTCCCGGGCTGCGGGGCCGATCTGCTCGACTCTCCTCCTCTTCGTGCAAAACTACGGCCCTCTATTCCCTCGACTCTGCCCGACTCTGCCCGACTCTCCTTGACTCTCCTCGACTTTCCTGGCCTCTCCCCCAGCCCCTGCGCCGCCCAGGTAGCCTCTTTGGTCTCGAGTGCGCTGCTGTAGGCGCCCCAGACATTTTCAGAGGGTTTTGCTGATTTTCGCTGAATCTTGGATTTTTTCGTGTTTGAAGCTGTCTGCTGACAAATTGCAGTTTGAGTGGCTGAATTTTCTGGCCCACCAGGTCTAAGGGTTTTGCAATGTAGAAGTTCGGAGCATTCAGTAATTCTAGCTTCCGGATGAGTAACAAAGCCATCAAAGAAGCGGCAGTATGGTAGGCTTTGATGTCTGTCAGCCTCTTGAGAAGGCAACATCAGCGTTTTCGAGATCATGTTGCCAGATGCTAACTAACATATTATCATGATAACATGATTCTTGAATCTGGAACTTGTCATCTCATCCGCTTGACACCCGAGCGCTTGTCTTGCTGGAGCATGGCCACTGCTGATCCCCGCCCTTTCTCGGAGCGCAAGAAAGCAATGCGGCCGGGATTGTTGGATTGGGAGGATCGTTATGCCTCTGACAACATTGTAGCAGGCCCTTCCACACTGTCAGGTTTGTACGCGTGGCCAGAGCATACTTTGAAAGTACTGAAAGAGCGAAATCCTTCCTGCGTGGACACCCTGGAGTTGAACCTCATGGCAGGTGGCAATGTCATTACGCATTACTCTGGCAAGGGCACTGCGGAGTCTGCTCTCGAAGACATCTCAGATTACTTGTGCAAGGAGTTGCCAGTGCTGCGTCCTTTTCCTGAGCCCTGATTCCGTTCGGCCAGCGCGTGTGAGAAGGACCCTACATGCCGCCTGATCCTAGGACACCGTGAGCCATCCTCTTCGATTCCAGAGCATATTTTCGGCAACATCTTGCAGCGCATCCCTGTTCAAGTCAACCCTGTAGCTGACATGAGCAATGAGCAAGTGAAGCAGTACCTGTCAGAGAATGGGAAGGACCTTTACACCCCCTCCACGAGAGCCTTTTGTTACAGGCACATGAAAGCTTGTCCCATCTGGGATGGACTTTCTTCACCAGCAGCGAGGAGAACAAGCAGCTGAAACCCGACATTCTCTTCTGGGAGAATTCTGCAAGCCTGGACCCCACTGTTGTGACAGAAGTTCTGGGAGACGCCTACTCGCATCACGTTGCAGAGGTAGGCCCAGACATCCTTGGATGGCCACAGACACGTCCCAGGTTGTTTGGCATCGCAGTTCTGAGGCAAAGCTGCATGTTCACAGGCAGCGTGCAGGAGTTTCAGTCATGGTTTTTGAGGAAGGTTCAGCTCGATGGGGATGTGTTCTTCCAGGGCCCTGAGGAGGACATCACGCAGATGATGCAGGAACTCGCAGCAGCTCGAGGACATGGCCGTGTGGACTCCCCGAGTTTCAACATGGCCTTCAACCCATCATGCCTTGTGACCCTTCAAGAGTACGCAAATTTGCGAAGCTCCCGAGCTGGTGTTCAAACAGGTGCCTTCCTCTGTGACCTTGAGCAGAAGCCCGCCTTCGCTGCGTCAGGTCCTTTCTTGCCAAGCTGCCCTACGCACAGCGCTATCTACAGCTTTGCCAAGAAGCGTGTTATGACAGGGCAAGAATTGCTTGGAGCTATGAGTACTTTGGCAGCATTTGGTCTTCCGACTAGTGGGATCCACGTTGCATACCTTCTGTGCCTCCAGCATCCCCACCATTTGTATTGATTTGGGAAGTCTTTTGTGTGGATCGTTTCTGGTTTCCAGGTTGATGGTTACATTGGTTACAATAGAAGTCGGTTGGTGTGCTTGCAGGCGAACACCTCTGGCCTGATGCAGAAGCAGGCCCGCGAATGCCACGTAGCCGGATTGCTGGTGCCATAAAAAGGTTGAAGCTGAGCCAAAGGGAAATGAAATGTGTGGCGGGGAATTCCTTCCACCTGGCCCTATTTGGAACCTGGGCCATGTATGTGCTTTCAAACGTGCGCAAGCACCCGCGCTCCATCCCCTTGCCCGTGATGGCGACTGAATACGGAACCTTGCGCTCAGACAGCGGTTTCATTGAGGGCCAGGAGGGTGAGAACGATGAGCATTCCAGCTTGCGTGCACGTGGTCATGATGGAACAAGTAGCTCCAGTGCCCTTGGGCCAAATGTTTCAAGCGCTGTGGCAGTGCAGGTTGAGGCTCCTTTGATCGAGTCCCCTAGCCGAGTGAACACCTGCTAGGCGATTGGGCCCCTGGCCCCTTTTGAGTTGTGAGTGCCAAGAGCAATTTCAGTAGCGTGCCACGGGGAATGTGGATGCGTCAACGTGATTATGCTATATGCTGCGCTGTCTGCTTTGCAGTTTTGCACGCAAGGCTGTTTGAACTGTTTGTGCAAGCGCCGCAAGTTCGAAGCAATGCTTGTGCACTGTCCACCTGCGTTTTGAGGGTCTGCGTGTCTCGCCAATTGCGCGTGACTAAGCACGAAGTTGCAGCAGTGCACTAGGTCGCCACCTCGAGTGTGCAACGCCATGTCCGAGCAACCTCATGTTCCGAATCCTCATGCAGCTTCTTCAACTCCGAATGGTCAGGTGAAGCCTAAGCAGGAGGATGCAAATGAGTCAGAGGCTGTGCAACCAGCCCTGAAGCTGGATTTCGATTCGGACCTTGAGGAAATCGGTGGCGGTGGTGGTAGCGATCAGAAGCCAGATGCTGATGCGGAGGACATCCAGTCAGGCTCTGACTCTGAGGGTGGCAATGATGAAGAACAGGAGCATGTTGTTGTCAAGAGGAAATACGGGAACCGAAGTCGATTTATGGCAAGGAATGCAAGAAGGCCGTCAACAATATCCAGAAGAGGGAGGCCACGAAGACCGGCAAGAAAGGTGATCGGTGGACACAATGGCAGGAAGTCAAGAGAACTGGCGGCGCCACACTGAATTCCATCATCATGAGCTATCGCGCCGAGTGCGCAGAGAGCAAGGGTCCTGGCAAACAACGCGGCTCCTTTGACTTCGCCCACCACTACGAAGAGCTGAAGTCCTCTGCAAGCGTCAAGACAGGCGACAGGTTGGTTTACATGCCGCTCACCAAATGGTTCAAGGTTGCCCAAGAGGATCAAGGCCTGGACTGCAAGGAGGCAAAGAAAATGTTGGATCAGAAGAAGAAGACCCTCCCGCAGAACAGATGGAAGAGAAACATCAATAAAGTCCTGCTTCTTCCCATGCCTGCAGAGAGCTACATCGTGGGTGAAAACTGCCAGTCTCATGAGAAAGGGATGCGTCTTCAAGGGAAGTCCGAAAAAAAGCCGACTGCGCAGAAGTTGGAAGGCATGGAGAAGCTCGTCAGCGGCGGCCACTTCGGCTTCGGTGACCGTGCCTTTAAGCAAGTTGGCGGAGGTGATCTTGCGGCGAACGCCCAAGCAGGGCTGTCAATCAATTTCGCTCCCGATGGTGACTCCGTGTTTGGCAGTGGCAAGAACTTCCGCGACGCACCGATGGCAGAGGCCACTGAGCTGAAGGGTGATTTGTAGACAGGTGATTGAAGGGCTGTGTTCATTAACGAAGATTGTTTGATTGGGGAGGTTGAAATGCAAGGCTCCATTTTTGTCTCGATCCGGGTTGTATTCATTGGCTGAAATGGGAGATTTTTTTGTTTCTGCGCTGGTCGACAGTGAAGTGAAGGCCTTTGTTCGCAAGAGAGGGTTGGTTGATTGAAGAAGGTTGGAAGTTGGAAATGCGAGGCTCCATTTTTGTCTGGCTGAACTCATTGTATTGCTTGAAGATTGCCGATGTGGCAGTCCTTCTTTTGTTTCTGCGTTGGTGGACAATGAAAGCCTTTGTTCGCAAGAAAGGGTTGGTTGATTGAAGAAAGTTGCAAATTCAAGGCTCCATTTTTGTCTCGATCCTGGCTGCATTCATTGAATAAGGAAGGGGCCCTTCAAGAACATAACCAAGGTGTTTATTCATTTGCCACCCCAAACACAAACATCCCTTAGACTCAGACCCCTTATGCCCCGTATGCGTCCGGTGTATGTTGTGGAGAATCTGTCATGGAATGTTCTCAAACAGAATTAAGATCTCCTCCCTCAAGTTGTGATTTGGATATTGCAGTCTGTGCTTTTGCCAGTTGGAAATATTCCAGGCACCAGTGGACCTTTTCTCTCGGCCTCCCATGATTGCGTGAACTTGACTCCTAACACTTGTCATGCGTTTATGGCTTTGCTGTACTTTTGAAACCGAGTGCTGTGTCAGGCATCCACTCCACCAAGAAAAAAAGGGCCTCCTCCGCGGCAGATGACTTGTTGCAGAAGAGCAGCGAGAAGGGGCCAAAGCCAGACGTTGACCCGGCTGCCGATGACAAGGGCAGGAAGCGCAGGAAAGCAGGATATGACATCGTCTCCAACCAGAACAAGATGCTGCAGAAGATCAAAAGCGACCTTGCCGATGCCTTCACAACCGGCATCAGGAAGGCCATTGAGGAGTGCGAGAAGAGTTTGCAGGAGTACCAGGACAAGTACAGCCAGAGCCCGGGTGCCTCCTTCTTTGATGGCTATGTCAAGATCGTCCTTGCCCGCAAGAGCCTTGCAAGTGCTGTGTTGAGCGTTGCGTCTGATGGTCAACTTGCTTTGGCAACTTTGGTGGAGAAGCAGGTGAAGGACAAGCTTCTCTCCGCTGAAGATGCTCTCACGACTCATCTCCTGACTGTGGCAGTTGAGCAGATGCGGACTAAAGCAGACGAGGCCAAGGATGAGGACGGCATCAAAATGGTGGTCAAGGACTTGAAGAATTGCGTGGCCAACTTCAAACGCTTGACTACATCTGTGATTCGTGCAGCCTCCGACCTCCAGAAGGCAATCGTGCAGAAGAACAAGAAGGCAGAGGCTGACGTTGCCAAGAAGCGGAAGCAGGAGGAAGCCCAGAAGAAGAAAGACGTGAAGGAGATGCAAAAGAGAGTCAAGCAAGGGCACAACGTAGATGCTCTTCCTGGTCTCTGGGTTGAGGGTCCTTTGACTAAGTCCTTGTGCTCCCCCATTCCCACCTTTGACGATCTTGCAGCGGCGAAGAAGCAGTTCAAGGCCGGTGGATGTTTGGAGAACGGAGAGCCATACCTCCTCACTGCCAAGGGCGTTGAGACCGTTAAAGCAGAGCTGGGGAAGGACACCATCAAAGGCTTCATGCAGATCTTCGAGACGCAGTTCCCTTTGAGCAAGCAGGCCAGGGAGAGAGGCCGCGTGCAATCTGCCATGAAGATTGATGGGGCCTGCAAACTCAAGGAAGCTTTGCTGTCCTTTGTCTCGGATAAGCGCTCAGGCTTCAAGGCTGAAGGCCCCAATGCCGATATGGAGCAGATCAGCGCCTACGGCTTCACTGCTGCAATGAAGTACTCAGGAGCTGAGCTGTTGGGGATGAGCGCCATCCGGTATGCAGTGAAAGGTGATCGGGAAATTGTCCTTTGCAACGCCGCTACGTTGTGGCCCCTGATCCGTGACAGCAACAGCGAGGAGGCGGCTCAGCTTTCTGCGGAGAAGGTTTTGACGTCCTTTTTGGGGGACAAGCTCATGAGCGCTTCTCTCGAGGATCCATGGGCGACGACCTGCGGCAACAAAGAGGACGGCAAGATCATGTGGCGTGGTGTCGTGCCAGAGGGGTCCATCTTTGTCGTGCCAGCCGGGGTCATTCTGATGGAGAGATCGCTCAACAACAAGATTTGCATGGGCCTGAGGCTTTCTTTGGTTGACAAGTCCCAGTTCTCCATTAAGAACCTCCAGACCTTGCTGGGCGTGCACTCCACCTATGCCGAGAGTTCTGACAAGCTCGTGAAGCGATGGCAGGATGTTGTAAGTCATGGGGCGGACGCAGTTGTGCCTGCAGTGTAGGGTGTAGGTAGTTCTTGTTTGGCTGCCGCTGAGAAGGCCCTGTCGCAAAGTAAACTAAGTTACAGCCGGCAATTACGAGCAACCCATGTTCTTGCACAGGGCCAGGGGAAGTTGGCAGGGGTTTGAGCACAGTGAGTGATTCATCCGAGAATCATTTCGAGCAGTGACCGACTGCAATCAGCAGTGGTTGACCGACTGCAATCAGCAGTGGTGAAGAAACGCATTGTTTGCCTTCATTGGTGAGTGTTGACTTCTGAATTGCTCACGTGTCACATTATGTACACTGCACGCTGCAAGTCTGCTATTCAGCGAACTGTTCCGTGCTGAGGCCCGGGTTCCTCATGGTTCATCTTCCAGCTACCGCAGCTGGAGCCTTACCCATTTTTGACGAGCCTCACGTTCCAGCAAGGTTGCCTTCCAGCTAAATCTTCAATGAGGCATTGGCAGATGATGGACGATGGCAGATTATTGTCAGACCAATCGTTGCAAAACGAACAGTGTGCTTCATTGCCAGCTGTGGGTTTGGGGGTTTCCGTTTCAATGTTGGGTTCCAGGTTCTAGTGGACTAATGTTGCGTGTTGACTTACAAACTGGGGAGTTGGGGATTGTTGGACGTACGAATTATTTGTAGAAGTTGGGATTCTGTAGTTTTGAGGTTTGGCTCCGGCCCGTTAGTTGTGGTATAGATGAATAGAATATTTAGGGAGGTCCCAAAAGCTACCCCAATATAGGTATACGTATTTTGTGGGGGCCCAACCTCATATAACAATGTAGTTTGACTCATGGCTCATCAACGATTGCCAGCGCAGTGTCTCAACAATCCCATGCCATACTCTACATTGCTTCAATATCAGAGTTTTCCCTGCGTGGGACTTGTGAAATGCTTCGGATATGGGGCGCGCAATGAGGTCACATCCCACCCAATCGTCAAAGGACTTCAATTCCTAGCCCCCAGACATTGTGTATATCAAGTTGTACTTCCCTAAACCCTATAAACCCTAAACCCCTACGCCCTTAACTCAAACCCTCAACCTTAAACCCCAAACCCCTAAACCCTTAAACCCTAAACCCCCAAACCCTTAAACCCTAAGCCCTAAACCGCCCTTCAAATGTTTCGTTCGAGAAGCTGTGCTATTCTGATTTGCACAAACCTTGGACTTCAGCGTTCAAACAACAACATGCTGGCCATAATTGGCCGCCTGTGTCATGTGGGGTCTTCTTCAGCCTTTCCTTTCAACAATGTTCGGGAGATCGCTCTTTGGAGGATTATGGAAGGGGTTGTGGTGAGTAGGTTGAGAGTGAAAGATTTGGAATGTTCGCCTTTCAGTGGCTTAGGGGATGTTGGGTTGGGGTTTTGAGTTTGAATCATTTCTCACATTTTCAAAGCCAAGTCGGGATGCTCCTCGGCCTCCCACAAAGCCCCACATTAGAAATGCTGCGTATGCCCCATGTTAATCCCCGAACAATACATTGGCAAAGTTGAAAGCTCCGCTGTTCCACCATGCCCTGGTTTCCGAAATTGATAGCGTGACTGTATGTGCCAACGCTGCTCCTCGGTCTCCCACAAAGCCCCATATTGGAAATGCTGCGTATGCCCCGTGTTATCCCCGAACAATACATTGGCAAAGTTGAAAGCTCCGCTGTTCCGCCACGCCCTGGTTTCCGAAGTTGATAGCGTGACTGCGTGTGCCAACGCCAGTTTTCTCGGCGATTCGTGGGCGGGCCTGGGCGGGTTTCTGTGGATGTGGGGGTTGGGGCTCACCACAGTCTGGGCAGGTAATTTTGTCAAGGAAGGTCTCAGGTTGTACTTTCAGTGTTTCCACTTATCATGTAGCCTACCAGCAGTTGAGAACATCTGGGTTGGGAAATCTGCCGGCCCCGACGAAAATTGCTACGCCCCACGTCAGATATAGGATATGGGACACCACCTCGGGTTCATGTGTCTGTTGCACCGTGCGGAACTCAGGATTTTTGACGTTTCAATTTTACCGATGCTTTTCGACTTCTTGTTTTTTGTTTTTGCTTTTTTTCTCACACACCTTTTTGCGCCTGCTTGTTTCGGAGTCCAGGTGGTCGGTTCCTATCGCGCGGTCCCGTGTTAGGGCCGGTTGGTCAGCGCAGCGGGAGCCGGCTGACCGAGTCGGCAGGCGTGAGTGCCAGCGCCTCGTCCAAGGCTGGCGCCCGACTCTGCGTCGGCCCGGGCACAGCACGTGCTTGGCCTAGTGCCGTGTGGCCGCTGCACTGCCGCGGAGAGCATGCTCCACCGTCGTCTCGTCCAGGCTGCTTGGGCGGCCACGCGCGGCCGGTGGGGCCCGGCAGGAGCGCAGCGCGACCAGGCGCCGCACAAGCGACATTGCTGAGGTGTTCCAACGTCCGCCAATTTCGCATCCGAGCACGCAAAAGGACTGAGCGCCCCTTTGGGCGAGCTCGGGGTAGGTGGCTCGTTTACGATGCTCTGCCACTTGCAACACGGCCCCATCCGAGCAGGGCCCAAGCATGCGGGGTACCATCACGACGAAGCGGCGACACCGGCGTGGCATCGCAACAAATGGCCCCTCCCAGCGGAGTCGCCCCATAAATCACAAGGTCGAGCCGGCGGCTCGACGACTTTTGCTCGTCGGGCGAGCAGGCCCGTGCGAGGGCGCGCCAGGTGTTGGTCACCAAGTGCGTCCGAACGCTACCCGCAGCCAGGCGCACCGCGGTCACCACAAGTGGCCGG